GGTGCTCTGCACCATTCAATGTGCTGCAGAAAGTTGTTTGGATGGCAAAAACTTGTGTTCACTCGGAGTGGACTCTGGACAGGGCAGAGACACTGTGGCTCTGCCCCTCCTGCCTGCACAGGATGCACATGGCCTGGCAAATCGTGCCTGGGGTAAAGTCTCAGCGCTCAGGCGTGCCGTTACCTTTGGTATGTGGAAGCCATCCAAGACCGTGTCCTTCACCGTCAGTCTCGGTACATAAGGGATGATGTTGCTTTTCCTCTGCACTTCATGGATGACAGCGTTGGTGTAGGGCATGTTACTCCTGTCCTCCAGGGCGGGCAGCCGTGCCTGCCCGATGACGGCGTCTATCTCAGCTTGCACGCGGGCTGGTGGGAAAGAGCAGAGATCAGCCGAGGTCCAAGAAAAAGCCCCTTGGAACAACATGGGGTGGTTGCTGTTCGGATACTCCAAGGACTGATCTGGGACACCTGCTGCTGTTTGCACCTCTTCTGTGTGAGTGCAGGGAGATTCCCAATTTTCCTCTCAAAGAGGAGAGTGTTGCACAAAGCCATGAGAGCTAAAAGCACAGAAAATCACTCATCTTTTGCTAATTGTACCTTGAATCTCTGGGTATATGGCCATATACAGCAGAGCCCAGCGGATGGTTGTGGAAGTGGTCTCTGTCCCGGCAAACAGCAGGTCGAGAGCGCACGCCACGAGGTTTTCCTCCTGGAAGCTGCTGTTGCCGTTGTCCTTCACAAAAAGTTGTGTTAGTGCTGCATGAACAGCGAGGGCTGCCCTGATGGCAGGCTTAGTCCAAGCCAACCCCTAGGATGTTGGCAGAAGCTACTTGACTCCTGCACCTCCATCCTTTTGAAGGGTGCCCTAAACCTGATGTCCATCCTAAGCTCATAAATTGCCACAGAGGCATCTCAGATGGAGCATTTGGGCTCGTTTCTTGTCCCTCCTGATTTCTAAGCCCTGCTGCAGAAGAGTTTGCTTTGTGTTGCTCACCTTGGCTATCTCCTGCAGGTAGCTGTCGATGAAGTCTCGGCTCTCCGAGGGGTTCCAGTCCTCCTTTTGTTTGTCGATCTTCTCTTTCACAAAACTTTTCAACAACCTCCCGTTTTTAATCATGGTTTGGTGTGATCCGGGGAGGAACTTTATTATAGACGGGAAACTGTTGTACAGCTTTGGAGACAAAAGGAGAAAGACAAACTGAATAAAGGACTACAAAACCCTTCTGTTATTGAAACTCGCAAGGCCTGCAGTGCCATGCTTTCTACATAGCTGGAGTTGGTGGATATAGCTCAGCTCCAGAAGAGCTGGACAAGGGATTGATGTTCCTCTTACAGAGTGACTTGTGCATTACTTGGTGTTTCAGCAGGTGGGTTGGCAGTCAGTGGGTTTGAAAGGTGATGTTGGGTGAGAGAGAGAAACGTGAGCATTGCACAGCTTGAAAATGAGTCAGAAAGAAATTATGGGCAAATGCACGCCATTGAAAGAAACAGGGAATGACAACGAAGTTTGATGATGTAAACGCTACAAGGTTTGAAGCTGGCTCCGGAGAAGACACTATGGCACTGCAAAAGTGCTCACCATCCATGTTGGTGGGAGCAGAGCTGTACCTGGCTCATGACGGTCCCGCGGAGGGTCACTGTCTCGTCCATCAGCTGCAGTAATTTTTGGAAGTCGTCATCGTGGTAGTCAAACCGGTTGCCAAAGGTAACAGAACAGATGACATTTGAAACTGCGTTATTGATTTTAAAGTGAGGGTCGAAAGGCTTCCCTGGAGAAAGAAAAGGGAATGATCAATTCTCTTCCAGCCTTCACAGAAAAGGAGAAGAAAACACAATTTTCGAACGTAAAATTTTCTACAAGTATGGGTTAAATGAGTGGTCCCTGAATGCGCATTCTCCTGTGTCACTGCTCTCCTGGGACACCTCACCATCCCTATGAGCTGGCCAAGCTTGGCTGGGCAGCCCCAGTGTGGAGCAAACATCCCACCTTCAGTCCCCATTCAATCATATCATGGAGATGTTTGTTTACTTTGGAAAGCAAGGTCTGCAGGAGAGTGGACATCATGTGAACTCAGTTGAAGTGTCAGTGCTTACCCAGGCAAGGGGTTTTCCAGAGATTTCCAAGAGGGCAGTAGGGTGCAGGTAGGCTATGAATGACACTTTGGGTGCCAGATGCTGCATTCACCAGTCAGTCTGAGGGCAAAACCTCTGTAAGAGGGAGCTGGGATGCTGGCAGAGTGCTGGCATCACTTGCAAGGCGAGGTGTTTTCAGCATGCAGTGAATCATGGTTGAAATTACAATGGGCCATAGAGGTTCCTGCCTTCAGCACAGTTTGTGAAGGCCATGGCACTCACCCTGCTCATCCCCAAACACATCCACGAGGCATCGGCACTCCTCCTGGATGCGCTCCTCCAGGCCCCTCTCCCCCAAGCCAAAGTTTCGGAGGGTGGTCAAGGCAAACCTCCTCTGCTGCTTCCACAGGTGCCCATTGGAGGTGACCAGTCCTGGCAGAAACATTCCACTGTGAGCTGAGGCAGTGGAATGTTTCCACTGGAATTTTCCCAGGAGGGGAAAATGCTCCAGGGCTCTGACTTGTCTCTGCCCAGCTCATGCTTTTGCCATGTCAAGGCTTTGCCCATAGAGCTGATCTGCCTGTCCTGAGGGGTAACTCACCTCTGTTGTTGAAGATCTCCTTGTCAACAGGAAATTCAGGGCGATCCATGAAGTTTTCCCCTTGGTTTACAAGAACTTCCTTAACCATTCGCAGCCCGTTTACGAACACGAATGTTGTGCTGCCCATCTGCACGCTGAAGATGTCCCCATATTTTTCAGTAAGCTGGGAGGGGGGTGAAAATCATTAAATGATTTTCATTTGCAATGATAGTGCCTGTCAGGACAGGGGGAATGGGTGACAATAAGGGAAGCTGAGAGCGGGCAGGAAGACCTGTTGTTTGCACAA